GGCTCCCTCCACCTGCACCCCCGGTCCTGCGCCTCTCCCTGCACCCCGGGCCTGGCTCTTTCTGCCTGCATCCGCGGCCCGGCGCTCTCTCCCTGTGCCCCCGGACCCGCGCCTCTCTCTGTGCTTCCCGACCGGCGTCCTCTGCCTGCGCCCCGCCGCCCCGCTCCCTCCGCCTGCACCCCCGGTCCTGCGCCTCTGCCTGCGCCCCCGGCCCGGCTCCTTCTGCCTGCGCCCCAGGCCCCGCGCCTCTCCCTCTGCCTGGCCCCTGGCTCCCGCTCCCAGTGTTGTCTCCTTCTTCTCCCCCGCACCGCGCCCCCCTCCCCGGGCCTTCTTGTAGCCTCCTCCCTCCTACCATCCCCTGTGCCACCACCCTGCGCCTCTCCAGGCACCCTCGCCCATCGACTCCTGCCTGGCGTCTTCTCCCTGCCCCCCCCCCCCCGCCCCGTAGTTCCTGGCGTCCTCCCAATACCTTTGTGCCTTCTCCCTCTGTCCCCTGGCCAGGTAGTTAGCTTAGAAATAAGAATTAGTCTGAAAAGTGGAGGAGACGCTTAGAGAGGACTTGGCAGTAATGGAAAAGGCTTTTCTGTACAACTTGCTCTGGAAAGCGTCGACTATGACATAATCCTGAACTTTGATCCGTTTTATCAAGACGTTATCTAATGTAAATGTAGGTGGCCTCGAATCACCCTAAGCAATTTTTTCCGGCTCCTTTTGTACGTTTCCTCTCTAGTCTCCTTTGGTGTGGGTGGAGCTGTTTTCTCCCAGCCAAGTGATCCTGCAGCTTAGAAACCTGGCTTCCTAAAAGGACTGGTGATTTCCCTTTACAGTAGGGCTCTGGGCTTGAACCCATCACCAGCAGACTCTTTCGCCTCTTCTTTCCGCAGGGCCCCATGACTGGCAGTGGCTTTCCAAGAGCGATGACCTTACACACAAATAGTCTTAAGGGTGACTTCCAAATCTTTGTTTTTTTGTGAAGAATTTTAAATTCTTCTGAATTCATCAAGTCTTCTAATAAGTTGGGGCTCCCTCCAGCTCTTAGGCTTTAACTTTTATACAGCTAAACCAAATGGCCAAACAAAAGCTTAAAATCAAATTTTAAAATTTTTTCATTCAGACTTGAAAAGGCTGCACAGGTAAAAAGGAAGTTCTCTGCATCCAAGAGAGCTGGGGTCACTTACTCTGTGACTGTGGGCCAGTTACTGGTTTTGGGTCCCACCTTACAACACCCACTGCATAGAGAGATAGGAAGAAGTAATTGTGTGTGTGTGTGTGTGTGTGTGTGTGTGTGTGTGTGTGTGTGTAAGCCTCTCTTCAGTATGGTTCTCAGGGATGGCGTTCCTGGTTCAGTGTGTGTCCCCATCTGCCATTATGCAGGCATTTTAAATGGGCAGTGTCAGTGTTGAACAAAGCCTCTCTGAGTCCTGTGTTCCGGACACTCCAAGAGTATTCCATTAAGCAAGGTTACTGTCACACTGCTAGATTTGTTTGTAATGTGATTGAGCATGACTGCAATTTGAATGTCAATAGAACTCTCATGTTTATCTACCCTTCTCCATAAATATGCCGGAACCGTGTCTGTCCCTTTCTCTAATGGCTAAAAGCAAGCTCTGGAGGCAGACTGCCAGGTGTTACCCCCACCCCGTCACTCAGGAGTGGGCTAAGTTAGTGAGCTGCTCTGCTGCAGGGCTTCCCCATCTGTGAAATGGGCACAGTGATGGTACCAGCCTGTGGGATTGGCATGCATATTAAATAAAGGCAACTCCATGAAAAGCTTGCACAGTGCTGGCAAATCTGAATGGTTAGTAATGACTAAAAAAAATACCATTTTATATTGCTATGCAAATGGACACATCCATGTACATAGTCTACGTGTCATTCATGCACATTGTTGCCAGCTTTGAGTTCCAATAAAGAACTTATAAAGACATGGTGTTGGAAACGGGTAAAGGGAGCACTGTACAGGGCTTTGTCTGAAAGCCTGGAGTCGAAGCTTTTTAACTGAGGATGTTGTGTTTAATTGTATCTAGGCTCGCTCTAGTGGAAGACTGCATGCAACCTCCCAAAAGACCAAAGTCACTTCCAGAGTGATAGAACTTGAATTGATCATTTCATACAGTTGAGGCCACCAAGGCACAGAATTCAGGTGTTATACCCAAGGCTGTTAGACGCGAGATTGCTGGGACTAAAACCCCTGGTTCCAAGATGAGTGGCTTTAAAAACTCTGCTCCAGAGGATTGGCTGTGTCAGGGGTAGTTTTTTAAACTGCCAAGCTATTCTTTTTTTCAGTTTGTACTTGTTACTGTACATGTAGCCTGTGTGGTTTGGGGACATTTAAGTTTTCCAAATAGAAGGATAAACATTTTCCGTTCTACCCAAGCAGCTAATTTATTAAACGGTCATTTGACCTAAGTCGGTGAGCGCCTGGGGAGAACACAAGCGCAGACAGCACTGAGCACGTGTTTTAACCCATCAGCCGAGCCAGTCAACGTGTACGGAGCCCCCACTTGTACAAGGCTCTGCAGAGGATTCGAAGCTGAGTGAGAAAGGAGACTGGATGAATGCCAGCCTGAATCGGGCTGATGGGGGAGAAACCAACTAGGGACAAGCTCCAACAAGGCCTATGGGGGTAGCGACTTAGGGAACTTGGCACATGTCTGCAGAGGCCCCCTCCTAAGCTTTGAGGAGTGAGGTAAGGCCCTGCCCTAAGGGAGTTTGAGCCTCTTGAGGGAGTGGTGAGGACCGAAGCCAGCTAGAGAGGCTTCCCAGGGTTGATGGGAAGGGTGTGTTTGCCTATAGGAGAAGGAGACCTGGGTGTTTTTATGTATTCATTCATTCAGCATGCATTTACTGAGGACTGTATTCGTGTGCCTGGAACTGTACTCATTACTGGGGACAAGATATTCCTGTAGGGAGTCAAAGAGTGTGAGACCGATTGTGGAGCATCTACAGGATCTTTTTGGCAGAAGAGCCATGGAGGGAAGGGAAGGCCAGCCTGGAAGGGGACAAGGGGACAGCTGTAGCAAAGAAGGCACAGGGTCCTGCCCAGTTCCCCTGTGGATGGCGAAGGACCTTTGTAGGAACGTTTTTAATCCGTGACTAACAACTCGGTTGTCCCTTGGCCCTTGGTGGTTGCCGTGTTCACCCACATCCCCGAGGTCTCCTCCTGCTGATCGCAGGTCTTCTGAGCTCTGAGGGCACAGGCACGTCTTCTCACTCCACCCTTGATTTTGCTGTGTGTGGAACAGCGTCTGACCTCTTACCTGCTAATCAGAGACAAGTGCATGCTAGAAATCGGCAATGGTTTCCAGTTGTCACCAACATCAGCTCAGAGCTGCTCTGCATTTGTGAAAATCTCTTGGTGTGGCTCCTGAAACTGCTTCCCGACCTTAGGTTCTGCTGCTTTCTATCCAGCCAAGCAGGTTTTTTCAGTATTACCTGAAACCAGGCTGCCTTTGCTTAGGAGTTTTTCCTTTCTGCTCGGCGGTGAGGGCGGGAGCAGGTCCCTGGATTACTTCTTCATCCGCCTGTCCATTTAGCCTTAGTTAGGAAGTCCCAGTTGAGCATGGATGGAGCTGCTTACCACTGAGGCCGTGACCTCCTTTACCATGACTGGTTGGGGGCCACACAGGGAGGCTGTTGATTGGCCCCCAGAGTGCAGACTTTCACACACTCACCTGAACACTCGCCCCAAGGTCTGTGCTCAGCCAGATCCATCACCTTGTGGGATCTTAATTCTGTGGTTGTCCCTGATTGTGATGCCTCAGAGGAGCTCACCTACTTCAGATTCATCCTTTCTCCTGCTCGGTTCTGTTAATGGCCCCCTGGGGAGAGCCTGGCCCAGCCTCACTTTGTAAGTTAAAACACAGCAGAAACCTTGAGGGGGTGAGGGGGACTACTGGATCCTCAGCGCTTGCCTTGTGGATTCAAATAATTTAAGAAAAAAACTTATGCAAAACTATAGATGACAGGAAGTGAAATAGTCGTTGTGTTTGTAACTCTACCTTGAAAGCACAAAGTGCTTAATGAAGTATGTAGCTTTACTGGGGTCTGTGCACTGTAGTCATCGTGGCCAAAGAGTCTTTTACGGAAGGGAAGACAAGAAAAGGGAACTGACCCAAATCTAGGAAGTGCTGTAGATTTCAGTGATGTCAAGTTGTTGAGAAAAAAGTCATGAAGTCAATTATGAAAATCAACAACCACTGTCAGTTTTAAATATTTG